CACCAACTTCTGTAAGGAAAATAAAACTAAAGGGTTGAGCTAAAACTCAGTGAGGTTTGCCGAACAAGTAACATTCAATAAACACTTAACCAGTAAAATTAAGTAAGTAATGCACATTTCACTGTATAGTCACTTTCAAAAGGATACAACAACCAATTAGCAGTATAAAACATTCACCAAACTTAACAATTTAGGATATCAAATTTAATAAAAGTAATCAATCACCTCAAATGATACGATACTGATACGGACTCTAGAGGTGGCTCCCGTCCGTTCCAGACGTAGCACTTAGTTTCGTTCAGTAATTCAATGTCATTTCAATATCATTGCACACTCATTTCAGTGTCATTGTACATTCATTTCAATATCATTGCACACTCCGCCAAATCACCTCCTTATGTCCTCCAAAACAATAAACAATCCCCTACATCCAGTAATCAGTTCAATAATCTCCCAACTTCAGGGTAATACTCGAGTATACCGAAACAATTACCCAAAGCTTCCATCCTATCCGACCAAGCCCTTTGGGGCCCAGTTCAGCCGATGCGGTAAAGTACACATACGGCTTATATTCATGCACACTTACAATAACATTTAGTCAATTATCAACCTTCAAACTCAACTAAGCCGAGTGCGATAAAGTACACCCTCGACTTAGAAGGTGAGGGACAATTGAGATACACTTTACAATGAATCACTTAGCAATAATTCATAACAAGCATATTTATCAAATAATTTCACTTAAGCAAACATAAACAATTAAACACTTAAATCCGGAAACACTCACCCTAATCAAAAGTTACACTTCAATCTCAGAATTGCTTTCTTGCACACCGCTGTCTCCTGAGACAAGTTATAATTGCCATAATTATTTAACTACTCATTTGGTGAAGTTCTAAAGTATAATCAACATACGTGTTGTATTCTAGCCTTAAGTTACATTCCACCCGAAATCTAAGTCATTGCTATGTTTAAATGAGGCAACTAGTACATTTTCTCACACTCACTTGTTACTTCGACTTTTAATCTCCAAAATAAAGGAAGTTTAAGTAGCAATTCCAGTAATGTCACTTCACTACTTTTATACTGTTAGATTTATCGTACTAAAACTCAACATCAACGTTTAACAAGGTAAGTTTAGAAGTAGCTAACCTTAAAGTACTTTCTTGTCACATAATTCTATCTTTTATTAACCAAGACCACATGCTTAACTAGTTTATTACCTTAAGATATGTATACAATTTATATAGAGCCTATTAAACCAAGTAATAAATGGATATCTTCTTATATAACTTACAAGGCTCCTTTGATTCCTATAGTTGGTATAGCAAACTTTTCCTTCCATTTTAACTATTTAGATTTTATTTCCAACCACCAATCACTCACCAACAAACTCATAATACACCAAGAAGTACAAATCAAGCATTTCCAGCAAATTTTATACTAAAATATCCATTCAAATGCCAAGAAATTCCATTGACTAAACTGTAAATGGTTTATTAGCCTAACAGTCTTTCAAACAAGAATCCAGCCATAAAAATCACATTTTCACCCCAAAATTCACATACATGACCATCTAATGATATTATAAGGTGTAATCAACCTTAATATGAAAGTTTACAGCCCAAAATCTATAGAGAAATATCAGAAAAAAATCCCTTTCATCTCTCTCGGCTGAGGTTGAAAAATTCCAGCAAGTAGGTAGTTTGGAAAACAAGTTTTCTCCATAAAATTCTTTATTTTCCTCATTCAAACTTAATATCCAGGTGATAATTTTTATTCTATGAGGTGTTTTGAATCACAATATAGAATTTACAGCCGAGGTTTGAAGAGAAAAGTTGGTGAATACTCTCTTTTGTTCTCTCGGCCAAGATGAAGGAGTTTCAGCAGCTAGCAGTTTAAAAGTATGAAATTTCCTCTAATAATCTCTTCATTTTACACTCAAATCTGACTTGCAATCATATAAACATTAGAGTGAGAACATGCAGCTTCAAACGAACATTCCCAGCTTTGACAACCTTTGTTTTCCAGAAAGTTTTCTTTATCTTGGTTCCAACTCAATCTAAAAGACTACTAGCTAAACGTAGAAGAAATGGAAGAGAAAGATAGTAGTTTACCTCTGGTTCTTATGGCTCTAAGTTAGGAAAATAAAGTTCTGGTTTCTCTCTCCTATCTTAGCTCGATAGACTGCATTCCTTCTTTCTTTGTAGCTGGTTCTCACGGTTGAAGGAGGCCAGAAATGAGTTCCTAGTTGTTGTTGTTGTTTCTTTCTTTTGGTCTTTCTCTCCTTTTCCTCCTAATGTCTCTCGGGTAGCTAAACTAAGGACAAGAACTCCTTTTCTCTAGAATTCAGCGAGTGCAGGCGGGTCCAAGTTGAGCTTCGGTTCCTCAAAATTGCACCAACTCTCACTCTTTCTTCTAGCTACTCCACTCTCATTCGATTGAGGCCATTAGGTGAAGTATACCACTAGGATTTCTCTCCCTCTCACTCACTTTGGCTCACGGTTTTGAGGTTGCAAGCTGGAGAAATAAAGCTAGCAAATGTCTAACTCTCTCCCTCACTCTCTCGGTTGGAAACTGGAACAAGGAGGAACCAGAAATATTTTCCTATCTCTTAGTTGTGTCTTGAGATGAAAAGAAATGGCTTAGTCTCTCTCAGTTTTGCTCTTGGTGTTTGGTTGGTAAGAAAAGAATTGAAGCCTCGCTTCTCCACTCAGCCACCGCCCAACTTAGCAAGCCACTTTCTATTTGTTTCCTCACTTCCACCGCTTGACTCAGCAAATTATTGGCTGTGGATTTCTCTTGATTTTCCTTCTACCACCGCTTGGACTTAGTAGCTTATAAGACTCTAGAATCAGAAGGAACAGTCCACTCGGTGGTCAATGTTTCCCAGTCGGTGCTACTTACTACTTGAGCTGTTTTCTTCCTAGTGTTCTCTCAATCACCGCTCTAGTAATTAAGCATTTGATTGCCTAAGTTCCTCGGTTGTCCAGAAGCTCAATTCCTCTCTTGGTTGCATGGTTAATTGTCCAACCGTTAATGGTTAAATTGGTCCTTTAGTTTATTATTTCATACATTCACTCCTAACTTAATTTGTATTTTCGTGAAATATTTTCTTACGTTGATCTAGTAGAGTTTCACACATTTAGCTTTAAGAAGAATTTATTAGACATGTACTTATTGAACTATATAGTATATGTTACGTGTCTAGTAATATTTGCAAATGACATAAATTACGATATGAATGCCATATATTTATTTAATTCATTAACTTTTTCTATACTATTCTAGGATATTTTCTAAATTCTCAATTTTATAGGGATTCAATTAGGCATTTAATTTAACCGTTTATTCGTTATATATAATATTTCTAATATCAAAGTAAATAAAATGAAATAATTTTCTCGGGTTTTCATAATCCGTGGAGATTTTTGTGTATTTCTCTCTAAAATAGAGGATTTCTCAAATTAAATAAAGTAAATTTTTTTAGGAGTGAAACACTCGCAAACTTTGCATGGATGCTTTCCTTTTTCTATTAGGACTTTCTTGTATGACATTTCTATTATGGGCATGATCCATGGAAAACACATTAATGAGCACTTATGTTGAATACGTGGGACAAGTTAAATATAGTTTCAGCTAAGGTGCTGATTTTTTTTTCCTAGCGATAACATAGCATTATATTGCAAAAAGAAACAGTAATACCAGTTACAAAATTGGGGCAACTGCCCCCATATCTCTCCTGACTAAACTAGTTAACCAAGCAGGGATGGAGTCCTTCTGCTAGATGTCCGTTACTAAATTTAAGGCAAATTTTGCCAACTCATGACTGACATAGTTGCCCTCTCTTCCTTCAAAAGAGAAGGAACATGTACTAAAATCTTCTTTCATATTCATAATGTCTTCCACAATAGTTCCAATTCTTGCATCTTGGTTGTTTTCTTCCATGATTTTATCTACTACTACTTTACAATCACATTGTATCTCTATTCTGTTCCAACCTTCCAGCTTTGCTTTAACCAAAGCTCTTCTAATTGCACTTGCCTCTTCTACTATTGGATCACTGCAACTTTGTTCAACTCCAGCCCATGCACTTACTACCGAACCATTATTGCTTCGAGCAAGAATTCCCCGGCCAGCTCTTTCCATCTTACTATTCAAGGCTGCATCTGTGTTAATTTTAATCACTCCTTCCTGAGGTGGTTGCCATTACGCTTTGTCTCGCATGTTCTCCTCTGCTGGATCTCTTACATTTTCCTTTCGGTTGCCACTGTCATATTCCTGCTACTCCAGCATAGCTTTGTTAATAATCTGCTCTGGACCTCTCCTTTCCTTGCTGAAATGAAACTGGTTTCTTGCTTCCCAAATCTGCCACACGATATTCACTGTGAATACTATATGATCCTTGCCTTCTCTTCGTTTTTTAGCTTTCATTAAACAATTCCACTAATGCCAAAAGTTTTGCCTAAGCTCATTCAGTCCATCCCACTTGATAGGCGCAATCTTCCATGCAAGTGCCGCATGTTGGCAGAAGAAGAACATATGCTCCATTGTTTTTATATACTCTCCATAGCATGCACATTTATCATCACCCTTTCCCGTTCTGCTTTTCACCACTTCATTTACAGGTAGTATTCCATGTAAACATTTCCATATGAAATGCTTCAACTTGTGCTTCATATTTAGACTCCAAAGAAACTTCCAGGCACCAGAATTTTGTTCATTTCGACTACTGTCCCCTCCTAGTCCCCTTCTGATTCCATGTTTATCTTTCAACTCTTTTGCCAGTAAGTATCCTGTCTTCACATTATATTCCCCTGTAGCTGATAATGGTCACACCAATCTATCCTTGCAGTTAGTAATACTAACTGGTATTCTTCTAATCCTCCTGCAATCCTTCTTATCAAAGACTGTTTTCAGCAGTTCCACATTCCACTGACCATTTTGGATCAATTCACTCACTTTGTCTAATTGGCACTCTGTTGGTTTCTCTGATCTGATCATTCCTTTCCCCTTCTAAGGAGCCATCTATCCCTCCAAATATCTATGGTAGTTCCATCCACAACCCTTTTTCTTACCCCACTCTCCAGCAGTTCCCTAGCATACAAAATGCTCTTCCACATCCAGGAATCACTTGCCTTTATTTTCATTTTCCATATTGATTCCCCTTTGAAGTATTTGCCTCTTAATATTCGACTAACCATCAAATTTGGCCTCGTTAATATCCTCCAGAATTTTTTAGCTAACATTGCATTGTTAAAATCCATCAAATCTCTAAAGCCCAAGCCCCCCTTTCCTTTGACCTCTGACAACTTTGACCAACCCATCCAGTGAACTCTCCGTTCCTGTCCTTTATCTTCCCACCAGAATTTAGCCATCTCCTTACAAACTTCCACACATAGCCCCTTTGGAAGCTTGCAGCAGGCCATAGCATATGTAGGCATAGCCAGCAAGACTGATTTTATTAGCACCTCGTTTCCTGCCTGACTTAAAAGTTTTTCTTTCCAACCAGTTAGTCTTGCCATCATCTTTTGTTTTATATAGTTAAAAATCTGCCTCTTCGATCTCCTAAAAACCACAGGGAGACCCAGATATTTACTCTACCGCACTTCTTTCATGCCCACCAGCATATCCAACACTGCATTTTTTCTATCATCTCTAGTATTCTTACTAAAAAACACGACCGATTTATCCACATTGATCATCTGACCAGATGCTGCTCCATATGTGCTGAGAATATGCATAATCTTTCGTGCCTCTTCATCTATTACTTTACAAAAAATCAAGGTATCATCTGCAAAAAATAAATGTGACACAGCAGGGCAATATTGAGCAATTTTAAGCCCAGTTAGCCTTTTGCATTGCATTGCCTGCTGCAATAAGCTAGAGAAACCTTCAGAGATGATTACCAAAAGGTAAGGAGATAGAAAGTCCCCTTGTTGGAGTCCTCTAGTTGGTTTCACATAGCCATTTTTCTCCCCATTTATGTTAAAAGTGTAAGTTACAGAAGAGACACATTTCATAATCCATTGGATCCACTTTGGACAAACCCCCATTTTTTGCATAACTTTTGCCAAAAACACCCGCTCTATCCTATCATACGCCTTAGACATGTCAAGCTTGAGGGCCATGTGAGTGTTTGTACCAGTTCTTCTGTTATGAAGGCAATGAATAAACTCATGTGCAATAACTTCATTATCCAGAATCTGTCTGCCAGGAATAAAAGCGGATTGGTTGGAACTAATACAATATTTAAGGAAGGGTTTAAGCCTGTTGACCAATATTTTTGATATGACTCTATAAATCACATTGCAGAGGCTTATAGGCCTAAACTGAGAGACTAGGATGGGGGCATCAACTTTAGGAATCAAGGTAATAACAGTTTCATTTATAGACTTTAACAGGTTACCTGAATGAAAGAAACTAGAAATAGCGGCAATAAGATCACCTTTAACAATATTCCAGAATTGTTGGAAGAAAATGGGAGTCATGCTATTCGGACCTGGTGCTTTGTTTGGGTGTAAGAAAAACACGGCTTTTTTGGTTTTCTATTCTACTACAGGCTTTGTTAGCCTCACATTCATTTGACTTGTAATGTATTGTGGAATTCCCTCAAGGACTGTATCAAATGACTCTGGCTGTGAAGAATTGAAAAGGTTTGCGAAATACCTTGTGATCTCCAATTTCATCTCTTTATCATACTCGCACCAATTACCATCTTCCTTTTGTAGTGTATGTATAGCATTCTTCCTCCTTCTAGCTTCAACAGTAGCATGAAAAAAAATTAGTGTTTTTATCCCCTTCCTGAAGCCACCTGATCCTTGCTTTCTGTCCCTAGAAGATCTCCTCTCTCTTTGTAAGCATCAGCCAAACTCTTGTGCAATTCATTCAGGATCTTCCTTTTATCCTCCCCACCCCTCTCCTTTATCCAACAAATTTGTTTTTTTAGCTCCTGAATCTCCTTTTTAGCATTACTTTTCAGCTTTTATCCCAATCAAGCAGTGCCATTCTACATTCTTTTATCCTATTTTGTAGCTTGAAAAACCTTGACCCTTGCTGATCCTTGACCCAAGCTCCCTGCACCACTTTTTCCACTTCGCTATACTGTAACCATTTTCTATCAAAATAGAATCTTTTCTTCCACCTTCTTCATTATGGTTCCATATTCAATAACATCATGTAGTGGTCTACGGCTTCCTTGTGGATGTGTATGCATCTGGCTCTTCCATACTCAGCTTTCCACTTTCTGCTCACTAATATTCTGTCAAGCCTTTCCTTAATTTCACCTTCATTTTTCCAATTGTTACATCATGTCCATGATTTACCCTCAAATCCCAGATCAATTAGTTGATTACTCCTGATGAAATGTTTAAATACTCTGAAACTCGTCTCAAATCGTCTATTGCCTCCCCACTTCTCATCATTTGAGACTATATCATTCAGATCCCCTACTATGATCCAGTATCTTCCCCAGAGTTGCTTTCTTAAGCTAATAAGTTCCCATTGTTGCTCTCTTATGTGATCCACTAGGCTTGCATAAACACTAATGAACCACCACTTTATATCCCTTGCCTGATCCTCAATCAACAACTCTATAGTGAACTGAGTAAACAGGACCTTACAGACTATAACTTCATTCTTCGAAAAAGCTGCTAATCCACCTGATTTTCCCACTGGATCAACGACAAACAGTGAATCATATTTTAGCTTCATTTTTATCCTATTCATGCATGTCTTATTATTTTTTGTTTCTGATAAGAAAATGATGCTAGGGGAGTGGAGTTTCACAGTCTCCTCAAGTTGGGAAAAAGTCAAAGGGCTCCCCACATCTCGACAATTCCACACCAGAGCATTCATAGAGACCTGAGAGCCCCATTTAGGTTGGACTCCACCACCTCCAACATGCAGTTGATGTTTTCTTGGTTCTCTATCCTTCTGACCTTAGCCCGTACCTCATCTTCCCCCCTTACTGGTATCTCCTTCTAGACCAGTAGCTACTATCTTTCTTTTGTCGTTTCCTTTCCCTGCTTCTGTATTGCCATTCCAATATGACAAAGGCTTCCTACGTCAAACTTCCCTTACCAGTCTCCTCCATCCTTTGCTTCCCTTATATTTACCTATCTTCTCTCCTCTGCATTCCTTCCGTTTTTTATCTTCTGGTTCCTTACCATAGTCTTTTATCTTAAGTGCACATACCTTATCCCCAACTTCATTATTCTTCCTGCACTCATTCGGGCCATCAATCCACATTATATCATACTGCTTATTTTCATTTACCTCTATGTTGTCCCCATTGTTTTTCCCCATTTCCAGGTCCTCATGTTTCTTCATTTCCATCTTATTTGACTGCAAATTCCTATCTTCTTCTCCAACTACACGGCACTGATCCTTTCCTAGCAAACTCTCTTGACCCTCTTTTTGTCCTTCCTTAGGTTCTGACTCAATATATTTCCTTTTCCTGACGTAACATTTGCCATGTTATCAGACCTCCGCTCCTCAGCTCTATCACTACTATGATCACTATTACCTCAAGTAAGCATAAACTTTGAGTTTCCTTCCTTTCCTGCCTGGGATTGTGTTTCCATAGTTCCACTATTATTCTCCATACGAGATGGTCTATTTATTTTCTTGACAGGACTCCTTGGGTTACTAGCTTTCATCCATGCCCCATATTGAGTTTCTCTTTGTATGTTTCTCCCGTTGTCCTTACAATTGTTCTCATTATGTCCCATCATTCCACAGCAATAACAAAAGTCCGGGCAACATTCATATCGAAATTCTACCCATTTGATAATCCCATTCATTTTCACCATCGTTCCCCTTAACAATGGCTGGGTCAGATCAATTTCAACCAGAATTTTAATATGTTTCCCACCCTTACTCCCTCCATTTGGTATTATTACCTCCTTGACCGATAAAAATACTCCCCCAATTTTTTTTCCAGCATCCTTTGTTATCAATGAATAGGCAGATTCCAGATTTGAATCCAAATCCATGTTGAATTAAATGCCTTGGATTCTCCTTCCAATCCCTCCCTCCAGGGAAGAACCACCAATGGTTGGTTGTCATATACCCAAGGTCTCCCACCCAAAACCCTATCTCTATCATGAAGGCTTGCGAAAGTGAACTGAAACAAATTTACTCCAATCTCTACTACTATAAGATTTTTTGCGAACGTCCGCATATTATTTGTAAAACTTGTCATACCTGCTAAATTTGCAACCTTGTCACCAGCAACTTTCCCAATAATGCTTTTCCTACATTCTGCCAAACCTTGTATAGCATCATTTCCCTCTATTTGGATTCCATTTGTCTCCTTTTCTGACAAAACAAATTTCCTCAGGACTTCTTCCAGTTCTTCAACCATCTTGATACAGTCCTTATTGGTTTCCCTAATAGATTACTCGTCCAGTATGATTGCCCAACTCACCTGTATCGGAACGAGATACACCAGAAAAGCTGTGAAGGATTCAGCCAAGACACAATTGATGGTAACTTTAGGATAAAAAACAAAACAAAAATCCTTAACAAAAAAAACACAAGCTAAAAGGTAGATCTAGACTAAACTAAAACAGAGTAACGCAGAAAACAGAAAAGTAGATCTGAGGGCAGAGACGTCCTAGGGAGATCCGCTTTTGTCTTCGAAGTAGAACCATCGGCTACCTTCCAAGCAGGTCACTTCAATAATAATCTTCCACAGATTCATGATAACACAGTTACCACACTATAGGTTTAATCAATGCCCTTAGAAATTAGTCGAAATCTGGTGGTCTAATTTACGTAAAGGAAAATTTTTGTTGAAATCAATGGTACTGGCAGCCTTGTGAATTGCAATTTGAATTGTTTGTAATGTTTTATGAAAAGCACCCATTTGGGGGAAATTGTACTCTATGGCTAGAGAGAGAAAGTGCTCTCAAGGAGAGAGAAGAATCTATTCTAGATGAAACAAACGGTAAGGTGCTGATTTGCTCGAAAAGATTTTAATATCTTATCCGAATACGAAATACAGAGGTTTCTATCATCAACTCAACTTCTCTTTCGGAGTGTCATGGTGGTTCGTATAACCACAACTCTATTATTTTCTATTTTGTTAGTATAAGTACAACTCTATTTTCCATTTTATCAGTGCATATATATTGTGAAAAGCATTCACCCTTTTTAATCACTGCCTTTATATGATGGTCAATTTTATATCTTGTCATTAGAAGTGAAAGATAAGATGTAAATGTCATTATTATATCCTGTCCTAAGAAGTAAAAGGTAAGAAGTGAAATGTGTGAGTGAGTGTTATGAATAGTATGTATGACAAATAACAACTTTATATCCCTTTGATTAGGTGAATTATTGGCTTTGTCTTGTATTAGACTATTAGTATACCCAACTTATCTTTCAAGAAATAGATAGGTGAGAGACGCCTGTTACATTATGGATGTGTATAACACTATCCCAACTTTAGTTATACCGCTCTGAATTTTAAATAATCCAGAAAGTATCTATAAATTAGGGGATAAAAATACATTAAAAAAAATAAGGATAAAAAGGTACGATAATGCTAGATATAAAAAAGTGGCTGATATTGAGAGTGGTCTGTAACTCATAGCATTTGTCATGTTCATATTTTCCTTCGCCTTGTTAAAGCATACAACAACACCTTTTAATCTAGTTTTGCATTTAGACACTTTTTCCCTTCTAATTTTAATTTTCTGAAAATTTATGTATCAAGTTCCTCTCATGCACGCCCATTGACCACCCAGTTGACAAACTTTAAACTACTTACAATGTTGCTTTGTTCACCAAATTAATATTAGAGTCATGATATGAGTCACATGAAAAGTTGGTGAAAATTAGGAAATAAGACTAGAGATACCCATGATTTTTTTTGTTTTTGGGCTTTGTTTTTGGTTGCTAAGTAACTTTGAGTAGAAATTGGTATCGCATTAATTTCTCTAGCCGCTTCCTTCTATTGTTTAAGACTTCAAATTTTAGAACATGGACTCCTATTATATTATTCACAAGTTGCAAGAATTTTGTCAATAAAATTATTTTTGGTTGATCCCAAAGTTTGTCTTATTACTAATATAAATGTATAATTAAAAATAAGTTAATGACACTACTAAAGTAACTAAACAGTGGTATTAACAATACATTTAGCATATTCTGAATCTTGCACAAACAAATTACGTCATTAGCTAAAGATGTTTTCCAATTAGCAGACTCTGACTTTTTGTGGGAAGTCAATTTTGGGAAAAGATTCTTGATTATGCCTAATTATAAATTTGTAACCAATATGTAGTGACTCAAAAATTATGTGTCTCACTTTTGAGCTGATACGGATCCTATTGCCCTCATCCCAAATGATTCCTATGACTACGGCTTCAGAACAGATGACAAAATTTTGTAATGTGAGACGTATCAGAGGAAACGATAAAGATTCTTGGTTCGAGTTACATTCTTGCTTTCATTTCCATGGCATTTGTATTTGCTCTCATAAGGTGAAGTAAAATAAATGTTATGATTGGAAAAAGAGTAAACTTTATATATTAGAGTACCAAGAAATCTCAAGGTGACACTGGCACCATGCATTCCAATGGAATTTATAAAGAGAAATATTTGATGATAATTTTGGAAAACTTAAATTCCTGCAGCTTCTCTAATTAAAAGATGTTATAGTATAATTGCTTACAAATAAGAATAGTCATTTTACTGTTAGTCTTAAATTTGACGATCAAAATTACACTTGAATTTCCTATGAATTAGAAAAGAAAACACAAATCCTTGAATTCTAAACAGAAACATGTCACTTGTTAGCATTTAAATTGAACAGCAAATGGTACACATAAACACCATTTCATTTCTCCGTACCTTGACTGGGAATTAGTCGTTTGGCAGAGTGATTGTTGCTTAGTATATTATAGGTTTTTCCTTTTCCTGTTTTATTTGGGAAACAATTTTCATGCTTTATGTTTGTCTTCTTACATTCTTATACACAATTTCAAGAAATATTTATCTTCATCTAGTAGTGACGAATTTTTGTTTAGGGGGATGAATCATCAAAGATATAATAGCAAAAAAAAGTCTACAGCAAATAAAGCATATCAAATGTAAAATGAAAGTTCAATAGACTATAATTAGAAATAAGAAATTTTCAAAAAAAAAAAAAAGACAAAGAATAAAGAAAATTGTGAAAAATTAGACTCTATACTCTGATATTTTCTATTAATGTGATGTATTCAACATTGTGATTGAAACTTTTTCGATTCATATGATAGTTGATATTTTTTTTGTCATTGATTTCCTATGTAACATGTATAGTACTACCTTAGTTGCTATTTTAAAGTTGTAGTAATCACAGAAACTAAGAGTTGGTTTTTTATAAGAACACTACTTTAAAAAAAAAACTTAATGTTTTCGTAACTATTATTCAAAAGTAGTACTAATTATATGGCAAACCAATTGTTAATTTAAGCAAACCAATTGTTAATTTAATACAGGATATTTTATGAAAAGAAATTAAACAAAATAATGAGAAGAACCATTCATAATTTTGTTTGAGGCGCTAAAGTAATATAACTAAAATTATAGGAGGGATTTAAAATTTTAAAAACTTTTGAGGGCAGCTTCCTCTACCTTTTTTTTCAATTTTGATAAAAAAGAAACCAATATTATTAATAAACTAACTGAAAATCGTCCGTACAACTTGACAAAGAAAGTTGCACTAATGGCAGAAAATATGTAGAACACGTCATAGATATATCTGACTTGAAAAATCATTAGATCTAATAGAATTACAAAATAAAAAAGATTACACTGTGAATCACAAACCATTGACCAATTGTACAAGCTGCTCCATAAGTGCATGTCTATTCTCTCAAATATACTATCCAACTAATTCAAGTTCAAAACTGATGCTAAGATTTGACAAGATGATCGAAGAAATTTCAGATCTAACATACAGATTTTAAAAAATTCTTAGATCTAAAAAAAATAACAAAAAACTAAACAAAATTCTCACTAAAATAGCCTAAGAGAGAAGAAAACTCTCACTAGAATATTTTAGAAGATACTTTATTAAATATAAAATTAAAAAAAAGGGGGAAGGGATTTGATTTGACACCAAGATCTCTTTCATGTGGAAGAAGAAAGGTGAAAAAAATGTTAAGAGTAGAGAGAAAATAGAGAAAACGAATAAATAGTGAGAGAACAAATTCCCAATTTTACTAATGAAAATACTCAAATAAAGTTCATCAATTGCATTGACAATAATTTTGATTTGGCAACTGAAGTCCTTTGAAGCTATCAAATTGATAAAAAAGCAACTGTTGGGCTTGCTAAATTGTTAGTCTGAAGATAAGGTTTTTTGTCTTTGGTATAATTAATAGATTTAGAGTCTAAGAGGATAAAGGTCGAACATGAAAAGCACGTCTCTTATTAATTAATTTCTCTACGAATTTGTATTTTGGAAAGGTATTTATAATAAATTTGAGGAGTTAAATTAATACAATGAAAGATTTGAGATCAATATGAGATTACTCAAAGTTTCAGTCCTAAAACTGAAATTCACCCAAAACTTAATTGAACTCCCATTGTATACCCGATCAAGAATCCCATCGCCATCCGGCGTTTCTCCGGTCCTTAAAAGACAGTCGCCGCCGTCGGGAACCATCCCTCTCAGTCTTCCCCCAGCCATTGTGAAAATGTAAGAATCTTTTAAGATATTTTATTTATTTTTTATTTTTAATATCATCGAACTCGTGTGTCATTTGCATTTAGCTATGATTAGATTATGAGAAAGTTGTTCTTCAAGTTTGCATTTTTCTTCGTAATTGGAAAATGGTGGTCTATTGGCTTGATAATAGGCTGGTTTACGACCATAGATTGGGGCCTGAATGTATGCAAATCTTAGAGAAGTTAAGCTCTGTGAATGCCTCCTATTTGTTTGATAAAATGCCTGAACTAATTCTTGAAAGCTGTTTGTGAGTTTCTCTCTCTCTCTTTGTAGTAAGAATCAAAAGCTTGTCTTTCTATTACTTGATAAGTTGCATTCTGAGGATGGAATTTCTCAAGTGACCAAAAGGGGGAAAAATGAATTAATGTTAGCGGAGCTTAGCATTTTTACAGAATTTGAAGATATCACAATGTTGGATGGATTCTTAATTAGCATTAATGCTGTTAAGTACCAGTTTTAACTTTGCATATTGGGTATAGTTTGTAGATTCTTCACACAATCTTTGGCTGATTTATTTACTGCAGAATCGGCACATGCCAAGTTGTACCCATTCTTGAAATTATTGTACCGTGGAGAAAGATTGTTGTTGGGGGGGGGGGGGGGGGTATTATGAGGAGTAGGTGTGGTATTATTCGGTTCATACCAAATTTGGCTCTTAAGATGGACTGTAATGATTCTTCATTTTTTTCAGTAACTAACAGAATAAGTTGATCAACATGCGTTGAATTAAATGGAGAAGAATATTGATCAACTGCTTCAACTATTGCAGTAAAAGAAAATGAGGGTTTTGACGAGAAGTCTAGAGGTTTGGAGATTGGGAGTTCTCAATTACTTGGAGGCACTCAAGTTGCAGGAGAAGCTAGTCTCAGATAGAAAGGGTGGAAAAATTACTGATACTCTGTTGTCATTGCAGCATCCACCTACATATACTCTTGGAAAAAGGCAAATAGTTCACAATCTATTAGTTTCTGAGTCACAGCTCAAATCCATGGGGGCTGAACTGCATTATACGCAAAGAGGTGGTGATATTACGTACCATGGTCCGCATCAAGCTATCTTGTACCCAATCATTTCACTCAGGGATATTGGATTTGGGGCTCGAAAATATGTGGAGACACTTGAGTTGACAATGATTGAATTAGCCTCTTTGCATGGTGTGAAAGCTCGTGCGGGGGAATCAGGGGAAACTGGGGTTTGGGTTGGGGAAAGAAAGATTGGTGCTATTGGCGTTCGTATTTCATCTGGGATTACCTCACATGGTTTAGCGTTTAATATTGATCCTGATTTAAGTTACTTTGAGCATATTGTGCCCTGTGGAATCACAGATAAAGAAGTTACATCTTTGAAAAGAGAGGTTGATTCTGAGCTTCCTGCTGAAGAGTTGATTCATGAGCAACTAATTTCTTGTTTTGTAAGATTATTTGGCTATAACAATGTTATTTGGAAAGATAATCCCTCATTGTGCGACCAACAAAGCTGACATGGATGTATGCATTATTCTGCAATGACACGATCCATCTAATTGTTTTTCTGAAAGTAAATTCACAATTTTGTGTTGATAAGAGTAAGTTTGGCAGTGATCTGGATATTGACTTGTTGATACAAGATCTTTGTCTATACTTTCTATTTTCTCCTTTTCCTAGGAATTGCATTTGGATGGTCAAAAGAATTAGTGGAAGTTAAAAGATATCAAAATAAACAGTATGAACTACCCAATCTGGCATCATTTGATGGTAATTCTTCAGCTTCATGATGTTATTATGCCTAAATACCATAAAGTGAAAAAGATGCATGTAGCATATTTATTAGGAAGTTGAGTGCTCTGGTTGTATTTCCTGTAATTTTTTATGAGAATGAGGGGTGCAGCATATACATTAGGGCTTTTAGGAAGCTACGAGCTCCATTATCAACAGGCTAGAGTGTTTGAGTTGATGGACTATGTTTTAATCATCGTAAAGCGATCATTCAAGAGGGTGAATTGCAGTCAGCTTGATCAAACAATGTTCTAGCCAAGCTTATTGATGCCAGAGACCTGTTCTTACACATCTAGGGATTTGAGTTTGTAATGCTAGTTTTTGAAGCCTGAAATGATCCATTGCCAGTAACTTATGCTTGAAGTTGGCAATAATGTGATCCTGAAAAAATGCATACCAGTGCTCTATGATTGAAGATGGCAGTAGAGTTCTTTCATGCGCCTGGGGGAATGTGATCCAGTAAGTTGCATTGTATTGTCCTTTGAAAACTGGCCATTAATTTATACTACTTGAGCTATCTTTCGCATTTCTGTTGATGCTGCTCCAACAATTTTTATCTCTGAAGGGTAGTGATTCTGGTGATGACTATTTCTATTAGTGCAAAGTGATTCAGACGGTTGACAACTGAAAAAGATATTAAACAGTCTCACTGGCCTCCTTTGAGGTTTCCAAAAGATCAGACACCTTCCTTAAAACCAAGTAGCTGAAAACAAATCCAACCCAATTCAAAAACACAAATAATGCATAACTATTGCAACAAGAATAAAAGTTCACGGGGTGTAAGTGGAACTGATGGTAAAACCAAGATTTCTATTGCAGTTTGGAAACCAGAAACCAACAGCTCTTTCTGCAACCCTTTCTAATAATGTCTATTTGCAACAGCCAATGCACGAGACTCTATATAACAACAGTATGAAACCGCAACAAAGGACAATTCAAGAGCTGGGTATTGGACGAGTTCAAGCAATAGTTAAATGAAATGAACAACTGCAATAGTTAGAAACGTACACACATGGCTTGTTCAAGCAATACAGGTGAATCCTGGAACTCACCACCATCATTTACAATCAAGAGTAGATACTGTGAACAAAAACTACCCTATATTAGTGATCTTGATTAACTAAGTAGAAACTAGGAAAAAAAAAAAGGGTCATCAATTAGCACTTTCTCTATTTAGAAGTTATCCACAACCACCAACTCATACCTCAATTTCATACAAAACAACACCCATGTTCCATGAAAATGAAAATAATAATCAAGAAACTCAAGAAAAGACACTAGAATGCACTATCAAGAAATCTAAAAAAAAAAAAAGATCAAATCACACAAAACATAATACAAACTACATAATATCATATTTTCCATTTTATGCATCGTCGTTTGATATGATTTAATCATGTGTCAGGTCACTATTAAACATGATCAACAACAACTAACTTAAAATCTGCAACCAAATAATAAAATTTATCTTCCAAAAAGAACGGTGCCTTTTTGTGATGGCAAATTAGAAATTATTTTATCTTTCAAATTGCCATTAATTTAGTTAATCCTACTAACTAATGATTTAAGCAATAATGTCAACATAGTTGCCAAATATTTGATAAGTTGTGAGGGTAATTATATCATTTCACTAGAGCTAACGTAAAAATTGGACCTTAGGAGGTGTTTGAAATTTAGGGGAGGTGTTTGAAATTTTGGAAACCTTAGGAGAGGCTAGCGAACTGTCAAAACCTCAAGGAGGTTTCTAAAATTATCCCTTAACTTTACTACCAGAGCTCATCAAAAGTTGCACTCCATGGTAGTTACAAAGAATTTCGTATTTAGATACTTCGAAATTGGGTTTGATTTTAAGAGTACAAATGGACTTCAAATATCTCGAGTTCCTAGCACCTCTCATGCTGCTCAGTGAGAAACGCAAAATGAAAAGTATGCATCTTATATTGTATTAGTGGTCATCTAAATTGGAATGCACATATCGCAGGTTGAAGGGCATTCACAGATACATTAGCAATCTAGAACAAATATGTAACCACGGTTTTCTTTAATCCTGTTCCTTTTAATTTCCCAAGCACTCAGATTATTTACCTTCGGCGCTCATTTTTTGGCAGAAAGATTTGATACATCCAGTCAAAAGATCGATTTGTCATCAAATAAGTAATGCTAACTTCCCCATCCCCTTTCTCCCACATCAGTTCAGTAGAAAGTCGAGTATGAGTGTTTAAGGTCCATTGAAGTCCCTTCCACTCAGCAATTGCCTGGATGTTGGACTTTAGTGAGTCCCCCTTAGATACCTTTCTCAACGCTTTGTTGAAAAGAAGCAAGAGTCACGGTGAGGGTTAAAAGCTAGCTTAAGTCGAGTGTTTCCCCATCCCCCATCGGTTCAGTAGAGAGTCGAGTGTGAGTGTTTAAGATCCATTGAGATCTCTTCCAGTCAGCAACCTTCCTCCCACATCGGTTCAGTAGAGAGTCGAGTGTGAGTGTTTAAGATCCATTGAGATCTCTTCCAGTCAGCAACCTTCCTCAATGCTTTGTTGAAACGTAATGCTAACACGGTATTGTGGAACAGAAGATGCAATAACTAGCAAGAAAATAGGGTAAATTACATGTTACCCCTCCCATGGTTTTGCATAATATCACATGACTTTTCTAAAATTTCAAAATAATCACATAACTTCCATGTGATTTTGTGTAAAGTGGAAAATAGATAGAAAGCATATTTAATTACAATGATTAGACCACATGTGTTTTAAAAGGACGTGTGATAATATCATAATATCCACTTAACCCCTCTATGATTTACATAAATATTCACTTCTTATAATTTTTACATTTATCCACATAATCCCTATATGATTTTGTACAAGACGACTAAATCATTGTTTAATTTAACATTTTAAGTAAAGACACAGCTAGTATTTCAACTAAGGATGCCATACATACTCTTTTCTGTAAAATTTCCCATTTATACAAAACCATGGAGGTGCAAAGTGCATATTTGGAAATGTTAGGGACATTATATGACAATAGATGAAACCACATAGAGGTTACTAATAATTTACCCAAGAAAAAATGACCTTTTTCAGTACCCAAGTACTCTAGCGCTTAGTTTAGGCAGAAAAGATGTGACGCATTCAGTTAAAAAATCAATCTGTCAGCAAACAAGTAAAATGCGTAATATGACTTCACATAAATAATGTACTGTGGAACAGTAGATGCAAAAAACTTGCAAGTTAAAAAAATGAGCGCCTTCTGTTGATTTACGGGGTAAAGAAGGGAGGAAAAAGCAACAAAATAATACTAAGCTTCCATGTGCTATTATAAAAGCAGAACTCTGATTTATAGATATGTACAACTATCATTCTCCATCATATTAATACACAGGAAACTTATGAAGAACAAGACAGCATGCACACCCCAGGACGATAAGCCCATGCAGGGGGCAAGCGTGCATATTTCTCCATTCCTGGCTGCTCATCAAAAGGACGTTCCATAACCTTCAATAATCTGCGAACCTCTTCGAAGTCGCCCATCTCAGCAGCATCAATGGCACTTTGGCATAAATAGTTCCTAAGAACGTACTTAGGATTTACAGAATTCATTGAGGCCTTCCTCTCCTCATCAGAGATACCACTAGCAGAAAGCTACAAAAATAAAAATGAAGGCTGTGAAACGTGCGATTCATACAACTTGAGAAGTTACAACATTTCAGCAGAAACAAACAGATACTTCAGTCACAAGTAGTGCACAACAAACAACTTGAACAGCAACACAAACAAACTGGCATAACTCTTAAAAAGTGGCCCTTGCTAAAGAAACATTCAAGAAATAAATATCTTGAGCAATAATTTGTTCCCCAACCTAGGAGGCCACAACTTGGACACAAGAAGCCAGCTCCAGAGCCGAGGTACTCTTCACCTGGCTCTGCAGTGGTAAGGAACTACCTTGTTTATTCTCTTCAGGTTTACTTTTACAGAAGACTGTCATGTCACACCATTAAAAAGCAGATATGAACACAAGGTAAAAACAGTTCAAACAACGCCATACTCCCAAGAAGAGATGACATGAGTACCAAAAGCTACCAATGAACTCTATGGTCAGTTCCAGCTTCAATTCCAAAGCTTGTATGTTATATTTGCTCCCATGTTATTAAATCAGTTTCATACAAATTTTCTAACATTTCATGGTATCATCACTTGCAGGTGAAAGAATATCAAAGTTACATCACATGACCATCAACCAATACCATGGCACAAATATTCTTGTAAAACACTAGGTGCGCAAAATATCAAGACGGGGAATTTATTAAAGAACTACGTGTAAACAAAAGGTTAAACTTTTGCTGATTCTAAATTTCAGATAATTGATTCAACATTGGTACATATGTTTCAAGCAACCCACAAGAGAATAAGCCAAGCAGGAACATGGAAAACCTAGAGAAAATAGCACAACCAGATTCAAAAGTAACTTAGGATGAGTTGCCAAACAGAACTTGGTAAAGAGCCAAGAGAACCATAAATATGACTTTCGAGGAAGTCAACACAATAGGCAGACAGACAGAGGGAAAAAGACACGAGGCAACAGAAGATTGGGGAGGAAAAAAATTGAGACTCCTCATAATTTCTTTACAGCATTAAGTTTGCTCCCCATTAAATTACAGCACAAATTTTATCTTAGTCAGTCTATCTGCGAAACCGACAGCTCAAAACATCATATTGTCTCAATGAATTCATAGGACAACTTGCTATCACCAATTTCACTCCTGAGCAACACTTGACTTAACGACTTGTGAAAATCTTCCCCTTCTGCTCGTCTACCCTCTTCGGATATA